AACAGGACAACTCAGAATAAACAGTCTAAATGCCAAAGCACCATCCAGGGCGCAGGGAGGCCCGCCCAGCTGTCTCTTCACTGGTTTAGAGCTCTGAGGTGCACCGAATGTTTCCCAATGCCAGCTGCTGTGCTTGCTGCCTCATAGTGCCCAGGTGTGTTATTAAACATTTGCTTCCATCTGGCTGGTTTGGCTCAGTGGATAGAGCCTGGGCCTGTGGACTGAAAGGTCCCGGGTTAGATTCTGGTCAGGGGTGCATGGTGTTCCCACGCAGCCTAGTGCTGGGCTGGAAAAGGCTTAGCATTCTCTCCGCCTTAAAAGGTCCAAGCACGAAGCTGTCGCTGGCCCCGCCCTGAGGTTTCTGCAGGACCCCAGTGGGCACTGGTTCACAAGAAGCAGGTGGTGGTGATGTTGGCCAGAGCACCCGCGGTTCTGTGGCCCCGGTGGGAGGTGGCGGTGGGAGGAGGCTCTGACATTGCTCGGGTGGCAGGAGCGAGTCTGAAGAGTGCTGGGCGCAGGCTGGACCACCCGCAGGCCGGGCGCTGCATGAGGTGGCCTGCCCACAAAGGAGTACAGACTCGGGCCATGGGGCGAGGTGGGGGTACAGGACTTGGGGCCCTCCTAGCCAGGGAATGGTGGTCTGCAGCCCGTTTACAGCAGGCCTCTGCTTTTCCTGGAACTCGGCCTCCTCGCCCACAGATGTGCAGTCAGGAGTTCCGATGGGGCCTGTGCCCTGACTAGACAGGAGCTCCAACTCTGTGGGCACATGGGTAGGGGTGGCCCCTCTCTCCTGGGCTTCCCTTGTCCCTTATGTGAGGGAGACTCATCTCCTACATCTGTGTAGATGCAGAGGGTTTAATGTATAAGCTCCAACCAGAATTCCCAGGAGGCTGGCCTTGCTATGTCAGGGTATAGTTGTGCAAACACGTCCTTTTATAAAGCTTCTCAGTCCTACTAATGCCAGCTAATGAACAAACGAGAAAGTAACTGTTGGCCTAAGACAGCCTGCGATGAAAGATCTGCACCTAGCTGTTTGAAATGGGGTTATTTGTTGAGGAGTGTGGCACTTTCACACCTTCACTCAGCAGGGTATTTCTTGAGCCTCACCCAGGTCGGGCGTTCTGGAAGGACAGCCGGTTTACTACAGCCAGGACTCACACATGGTCTCCACTTGGAAGTAAGTTAGGGTCTAGACTAATTAGCAGCACGACAGAAAGCAGTGCGTGCTGCCAGACAGCTCAGCAAGGCCTGTGCATTTGAAGTCAGGAAAAAGCAAGAGAACTTCTTCACCCTCAGCTGGTCCCCTGGGACATGTCTTTATGTGCACTCATTGGCAATCAGCCTCAAAGCCTTACCCTTTTCCTCATGAGTTAATCACAATGTATCTGTTCTGATGTGTCTCCCGATTTCTGTCTTCCTCTCAGACACCATCGCTATACAAACATCAGCCTGTGCTGCCAACCAGGTCTCAAGAACTGAACTTGGAGTTCTGTCCGACTTCCTGAAGGTGGAGGAAAGGGACGTGTGCCGGGCGACGAGAAGGCAGAGGCCACAGCATCCGACAAGCAAGTGACAGACACAATGAGGAGTCAGCAAAGGCTTCTGAGCTTTGTTCCACTTCCATCCATTTCCCAAGTTTTACCATAAACATGAAAAATATAATCTTGCTGTTATTCTGAGCACGCCCACTGCTGTTGAAGTAGATGGCATCCAGACCTGACTACATGACTCCCAGCTCCTGTATGGCCTGGATCCTGGCAACTAGCGGCCTCACCTGTGAGATCCCCAGCCTTGGTTCCTCGCAGGCTGGGAGGAGAATTGATGCCTGCAGGAGGGGAACTGGACTTCAGTGAGGACAATACTGATGGGAACTTTGGTACTAAAGGTCTTGGTAACTGTATTTGTTGTTTATGCTGAAAGAAAGTAGGCTGAGTCAATGATTTGACTCATGCACATAAGACAAGGGGGGAATGAGAGCAGTGCAGGGCGGGGTGAGGATAAACTCCTGAGTCCACTGTGGGGCAGGGCAGAGTTATCCTCCATTTTGTGTAACTGGACCCAGCCCAATCAGGGTCAGCCAAAGCAGTGACATCACCACCAGAGTAAAACCCCAGAGCTTGGCGGAAAAAAGAAAAAAAAAGAAAAAAGAAAAATATAATCTTGGCTTTCTCGTCCTGTGGGAATTTAGATCCTCACTTCAAAGACTCTTCTCCGAAAACCTTTACTGGAGAACAGGAGTGAACAAAAGCGTTTAGGACCGCCCAGCACACTACCTCTAAGACCAGACTTCAGGGAAAGGTGGGTCCAGCCGCGTGGCTTAGTCGGTTGGAACGCTATCCTGCACCTCAAAAAGGCTGCGGGTTCGATTCCTGGTCAGGGCACATGCCAAGATGCAGGTTTGATCCCCATTCAGGGCACATGGGCGAGGCAGCGGGATTGATGTTTGCTCTCTCTCTCCCTAGAAATCAATAAAAGCGAATCATTCGGTGAGGATTAAAAAAAAGGGGGTGGGAGGGCAGAGACTAGTTGGATTACCTTTGAGGAAGCTCCCCTCTCTCCAGAGTATGGCCTTCTTTCCTGTTAGCGACGCGGTAATAAAATCTCGGGGAAACGCTAACACCAATTGGAGTTACGGAATTAAGCATGAGAAGACAACTAGGGCAAGAACAACTTGGGATAGCCTGAGTGCATTCTCTCTTCAATGCCTTCACTTGGACCCTCATAAAAGGGGGAATTACATGAGCTGGGCAAACTGGCTAACTATCCCAAGTCTCTGAATCTGTCAGATTGGCCACGTAACGGAGTCCTGTCCACAGAAACACGTGAGGGACATGCCTACCTTCCAGGCCTGACACAGACATGTTCCATGTCTCTCCCCCTTCCCCTCTGGACTCCTAGGACAGACGGCAGGTGCAGAGCCTGCGGCTCCCAAGGTGGACGGAGCCCCGGAGTCACTCACTGAGCCGCACGGGAGACATCCCCGTGGAAGCTGCACTGCGTGGCCCGATGCCAGCATTTACAACGTGTCTGACCCAGAGGGAAAGCTCCACACACTGTAGCTCCCATTATCATCAGGGAACAAAATTTACTTCAACTTTCCTTCTTTTTCTTGGGCAAAGCAGAGTACTAGGGGGTTGGGTTAGTTGGTGAAGAGCACTTAGATACATTTACCAGTTAAAAAAATGAGTAGCACATTGGGGTATTTAATCTAAACATTGTAACAGTGATTCAAAGAGGAACAACAATTTCTTTGGATCTCAAGCATTAAGTGTTATGATGAGTTTCATAAAATAGAGTGCTTACCCACTCGAACCTAATACTAATGTGAAACATAAAGAAAACTAGGTTCTCTTTTGCTCCCTTTGACAATGAGCATTTGAGGACACTCTAAAACAGTTCTGACAATCCACATCATTTTTGTGGTTTCAAGTCAATACAAAATTATACAAAGAATACTTTGTGCTGTTACAATATTTCTGATACAGTTTAATAGTCATAATCATCTTTTATCAATTTTAAATAGATCTTAAAAGAATGTCTTAGCGAACCATGTTTCTCTAATATATTTGTTACAATAAACAACATTTATGAAAATACTAGTTAAATATTTTGCAGAGGAAGTGGGAAAAAGTGAGGAGAGAATAATATTTCAAAACTAATCTTCAGTGTTAGGCCTAAATATTTGGCAATTATTCCTGATTATAGAAAATAACAGATTTGTGACATTGAAATGTCAAAAGTGCAGTACATCCGGCCAAAATGAATGATAGTTCCACTAGAGACTTGATTTTGCAAAATTAATACAGCACAACCAATGCCATTCATATTTCAAACTGAACCAATTTTATCTTCGTGATTTTTGACATAGTTTCTGGATTGTGTTAGAAATTAGAAAATTCTGGCTGAAGATCTTGTTACTTTTCTGTAAATTATATGAAAAAAATTCATATTTTATTACTAATGGTTATTATCTTTAAATGTTGAAGAGCCTTCATGATAATATTTTCATAAAAGGGATACTTTACATTTTATTTTCTTCAGAATACACTGAACAACAAAAAAGTGCATCAACTTAATTTAAAAGTCAGTCGTATCAAATATATTATTTGGGCATCTAATTTTCTTTCTAATTACCCTAGTTTATCAGCTATTGTTGTTATTGGGCAAATTAAACTTCATCATAGCTTTGTATGTATAGAAAAATATAACATATATACATATATGTGGTTTGGAAATATATAGTTTTATGCACCCATGGGAGGGTCTTGGAATGTGTCCCCACGAATAAGGGGGAAATACTACATATTCCAATTCATCTATTTTGTACTATTAAATAGTAGTTTTGAATAAAAACCCTCAAAATCTTTAAATAATCTCAGATCTGGGTTAAATCATGATAGGATCAATTATTTTTTTAATTCAAATTTATTTATTCATCAGTAAAATGTATTATTTAACAAGGTCCCTAGAGAATAAGCTTCCTGTATGTGGGAGGTGGTGACATAATTACACTGCTTTAATTAGGCCACTGACAAAGCTGCTAATATGCACAATCAGTATAGTTTCCCACGCTGATGTGTGAACAAATCACACCAAACCCAGAGATACCCATTCCTGAAACAAGGAACTATCTCATTAGCATTTTGCTGTCATGTGCTACCTTGGTATGTTAAGCACAATGGATTTTTTCCTAATGATTATGATAGATTAAGGCAAAAAACCATAATCTAATCCCCCCAATAATTTATTTTCTCACTTTTAGAAATGGTTATCGAGACGATACGGATGATCACTCGGCTGCCTAGAAAGACACACGCTGTCCCTTAGACCCACATCGGGAGCTCTGGGTGAGGCTAAGCTCGCGATGCTCACAGTGTCTTGCCTTGACTCACCATTAGGGTTATTTCTCAGCAGCACCACATGCTGATTTCAAATGATTCTGTCTACCTGCTAGTCTCTTGCTCCATAGGGTATTTTCCTTATTAAAAATACTTAATAACCTACTCAGTCTTTGTAAACTCTCCAAGGAGTGACTTTCCCTCTTGGCGAGCGCTCCCTGCATTGGTGCTGCACTTTTCTTCCTCCATCTTCTTCACATAACTGAGTGGCCCTGTCCCTTCGAAGGAGGAAGGGTTTTTGAAGGAGCCTCCAATCCTATCCCATAATGTGAAGTACTGTCCGTAGTTGTAGTCGAAGAACATGTGGTGATCTGTATGATGAGCTGAGCCATTAATAAATGGCCTTAAGATCTGGGGGACACGAAAGTCACCATCATGAATGGAAATTGTCCAGATATTGACCAGGATGTACAGACCCAAGTAAACCACCTTGTGCAGCGGGAAGATGAAAGGATATATGTGGTAAGGCAGACTTTGAAGGAAGCCATCCACAGGGTGAAAAGCATGACTTGCAAAGGGAGTAGTGATCTTCCAGATGTGATGTGGCTTATGGATGCGCTGCAGGAGAAAAGAACACCATCAGCACTCAGCCTGCACTGAGGTCCACACTCAGCTCAGCTTCCATACTCATGCTCTGGAGAAGACTTAACTAAAAACCCTTTCGAAATTAGCAGAGTCACTTTATAAAATGTCTTCCTTCTTTACCCTCCAATGAAATTTTAGCACCAACACTCCAGACTCATAAAAAATACAACAAAATATACCTGGTATTTTCATCACTATGGTTACTTAGGTATTTATAGTAATTAGAGAAAATTGTTAGAAATAGAGAACTAATTTATAATTGCAAACTGCTGAAATGTATACCATTTTTTTTATCACCTCAGCTTGCCCTACATCCCACTCTAGGGCACTCCTCATTGCATTCCCCCCAAACCGGGGACCCTCATCATGGCTTCTCTCCAGATGCCCAGCCATATTCCAACTGCCAATCTTTAGTATCTAAGTGTCATCTGAGAAGTTGGATAAAAGTGATAACTGAGTTCTAGTTCCAAGACTGCATTGGATGGAGTGTAGAGTGGGAGCCAGATATCAATCTTTGAAAAGGACCCAGGTAGTCTGGGGACCTGCTTTGGAAATACTGTTAGAATGCAACACTTGCTTTAGGATTTTAGTTAGAACAAGGTATGTGGCAAATCACAATTCAGTCAATAAAATTCCATGTTCTTCCATCTGTATCAGTGGTCAATCTATATATCAGTACAATCAATAGTTCTATTCAACTGGGCAATAAAATCTAGTGAGAACATCAGTTGGGAACTTGGTAGCTCCATCCTTCCTACTAGTCCTGATCCCAGCTAGCCTTGCCTGCAGGGCACCGGTCTGGACTAAAGGATCCAGTGAGACTGACCCAGGATCAAGAAACTCAAATTATTCTTGAAGTTTTACACAAGGATCCTGAGTGGTGGGATTCATTGACTAAAACAACAAATCAGGTCAGGCATAGGATTATTTTTTAAAATATATATATTTATTGATTGATTTCAGAGAGGAAGGGAGAGGGAGAGAGAGGTAGAAACATCAATGATGAGAAAGAATCATTGACTGGCTGTATCTTGCATGCCATCTACTGGGGATCAAGCCCACAACTCAGGCATGTGCCCTTGACTGAAATCTAACCCAGGACCCTTCAGTCCTCAGGCCGATGCTCTATGCACTGAGCTAAACTGGTTAGGACAGGATTTTTTTTTTTTTTTTTTTTAATAAACCACATCAGATTACTGAACTCAGGCATATTTCTTTCTTTCTTTCTTTTTTTTTTTTTTAATATATTTTATTGATTTTTTACAGAGAGGAGGAGAGAGGGAGAGAGAGCTAGAAATGTCAATGAGAGAAACATCGACCAGCTGCCTCTTGCACACCCCCTACTGGGGATGTGCCCGCAACCAATGAACATGCCTTTGACCGGAATCGAACCTGGGACCTTTCAGTCCACAGACCGACATTCTACCACTGAGCCAAACCAGTTTTGGCTGAACTCAGGCATATTTCTATGTGGTCATTCTACCCTTAACAAGATTTCTTTTTTAAAAAAATTATATTTATTTCAGAGAGGAAGGGAGGAGAGAGAGATAGAAAAATCAATAATGACAGAGACTCATTGATCAGCTGCCTCCTGCATGCCCCCTATTAGGGATTGAGCCTGCAATCTGGGCACGTGCCTTGACTGGAATTGAACCTGGCACCCTTCAGTCCACAGGCTGATGCTCTATCCACTGAGCCAAACTGGTTAGGGTGATTTCTGTTTTTTAAAATTACATTTATTGGAGTGACATTGGCTAATTGGGCCATTTAAGTTTCAAGCATACAGTCTGTCACCCGTGCTCTGTATATAGCATAGTGTGCCCGCCACCCAGTCTCAGCATCTCCTGAGGTCACGCTTTTGCCCCCTTTACTGTTCTCTATCTCCCCACCCTCAGCCTCCTGGCACCACCATCCTGTTGTCTGTGTCTATGAGATTCAGTTTGACATATATTCATATATACTATTGTTTTCTTTTCCTAAAAACGATCTACCTTATACACAAGTCTATGATGAAGGCCTCTGTGGATCCAGTAGATCAGCATGTCAGTGAAAAAGAGGAAGGACAGCACACTAATGATGAGCTGAAACCAGCCTAGAAGAGAGAACAGTGCACAGTGCAATCACAGTCAGCTTCTAGGATGAACATTACTTTTCACATGTCTAAATGCAAAGTGTGAACCTAGACTCAAACATTACAAACTATCTGCTTTGGCCAATTAAACACTTGATAAATTCATCTCCTTTGACTCTTCTGGAATCTGCTCATTTCTTCCTTTTCTTCATGTAAAAACTTGAAAATGCCTCCACCTAAAATCTTTCTTACTTATACTATTAAGCTACTTATGAGACAGAAAAAAGATATTCCTGAAGTATCAGTATTATTTTAATCTCTGAGAATAATTTTATTTAATAATCTTCTTCATAAATACATGATCTCCCTGGTTAGAATTTTATTTTTTACTAAATACTTCAAACTGAGCATTTACTCCAAAACCCAGCCCTTTCTGATTTTTCCGACCTCACCTATTCCCGACTAACCAAGCTGGGTTACTCAGTGTCTTCCCCACATCTTGGAAGGTAAGACTTCCGTTGCTCATGCTTTCCTGTGTGTCCAGCATGACTTTCCTTTGCTGATTTTTCCTCACAATCCCATCACTTCTCACAGCCTTCTTAAGCCAGCCCTGGTGTGTGATCTCCATTCCCTGCCTTAGCCAACTTGTCTTGACTTAGAATCAGGCCAGGGTTGACCCACCCTTCTTTGTGGAGAAACCTGGGCGAGTCACTAAAATGCTCTGCAAACTCCATTTTCTCACCTAACACAGCAGCAAACAACAGAACCGCCTCACAGAACTTACGTAGAATAAAATGAATTAAGACATGTGAAATCTTAAAACCGTAGCTGGTACTTAGTAACTCTCAATAAAGGTTAACTATTATTCTTACTGTTTAATACTAGACACTAGAAATGTCTCTTGATGGAATAACTTCAAAATTTCACAAAAAGTGAGCTTAGTCACTGGGATTGTTTATAATAGACAAAAAGAAACATTCTAAAGGTCTAAAAATCAGAGTTCATGTAAATAAACTATGGATATCTACAGAATGAGACACTAATACTATACTACATAATCTAATATTTACAGGCAAAACAATATGGGCATAAATATTGTTAACAGCAAAAAAATTGACCCCAAAGCAGTATGCATAGTGAAGTTTCATTTTTACTCTAATAAAAGAGCAATATGCAAATTAACATCACTCCACTACACCCACAAGCCACACCCACCAGCCAATCAGGAACAAGTATGCAAATTAACCCAATCAAGATGGCTGTGGCCACAGAGTGAGCAGGAGGCTAGGGTTTCCCTAGTAAAGGAGGAAGCCAAACTTTCTGCACACCCTGGACAGCCTAAGCCTCCACTCAAGGCTGCAAAGTTTCAATTATAGAAGGTAAACAAATCCTCCCAAAATGGCTACGGCTCTGCTCAAGGCTACAAAGTTTCAATTATAGAAGATAAATAAATCCCGGATACCAGGGCCTCCACTTGGGTCGCCGGGGAGTGTGGCCTGCAAACCACCACAGGCCCCTCACCCAGGCTGCCCCATGCCCCAAGGGAAACCCCACCCTGATCCAAGACACCCATCAGGGAAAACCAGCTGGCGCCACCCATGCACCAGGCCTCTATCCTATCCTATCTAATAAAAGAGTAATATGCAGATTGACCATCGCTCCAACACACAAGATGGCTGCCCCCATGTAGTCAAAGATCCTGCCCCCATGTGGACACAAGATGGCTGGCACAAGATGGCCAGCAGGGGAGGGCAGTTGGGAGGAACCAGGCCTGCAAGGGAGGGCAGTTGGGGGCGATCAAGTCCTCAGGGAAGGGCAATTGGGGGAACCCAGGCCTGCAGGGGAGGGCAGGTAGAGGTGACCAGGCCTACAGGGGAGGGCAGTTAGGGGCAAACAGGCAGGCAAGGGAGCAGTTAGGCATCAATCAGGCTGGCAGGGGAGTGGTTAGGGGTGATCAGGCTGGCAGGCAGAAGTGATTAGGGGCAATCAGGAAAGCAGACAGGCAAGCAGTTGGGAGGCAGCTGTCCTGGATTGTGAGAGGGATGTCTGACTGCTCATTTAGGCCTAATCCTACAAGTATCAGGCCTAAACGGGAAATCGGACATCCCTCAAGAGTTCCCAGATTAGAGAGGATGCAGGCTGGGCTGAGGGACATTCCCCCGGCCCCATGCACAAATTTCGTGCACCTGGCCTCTAGTAATATAAATAATTAAGTATATAAGGCATAGAGGGTATATGTCAGAAGATTTACAGTTTCTAGTAGAAAAATAATTGATTTTTTAAAATCTGTATTTTCTGTTTTTTTGTAATTGTCATGTAATATCTGAGTTATTTTTTTGGAAGTTTGAATTCATCCCAGGGGATCAAATACAAAGGCTTATATATCTAATCATGCCAATCTTTCCCCAGGCACAATTTCATCTAGGAAACATATTTAAATTGACAGATAAACTTAAATAAATGCACATTATGAGACAAGACATAAATGCATAAAATAAAATATTAACAAATATTAAGAACTGAAAAATTTCTAATTATTTTATATTTTTATTGATTTCAGAGAGGAAGGGAGAGGGAGAGATAGAAATATCAATGATGAGAGAGAATCATTGATGGCTGGCTCCTGCACATCCCCTGCTGGAATCAAGCCCACAATCCAGGCATGTGCCCTTGACCAGAACTGAGCCTGGACCCTTCAGTCCACAGGCTGACACTCTACCCACTGAACCAAACTGGCCAGGGCTTCCTAATTATTTTAAGAAGGCAGAGGCAGATCAGGCTCTTCAGAAGCACCAGCGTGGGCTGACCGGTTCTCCACTTACCACTCGGAAAGCCGCCTATGTCATCGTACAGCTTGCTGTAACCTCGCAGCTCCAGCAGGAACAGCATGACCGTGGGAATGCTCATCCACGGCAATGCCCGGACCGTGAACATGATCTCTCGATAGACCTGGTTCTGAAAATGACAATTCCGATGCTTAAAAACCACTGCTCATTGGGCAACACTAACACAGGGCTGTGTGGGGTTGGATTTTTAGAATTGCTTATATATACATATACATATATATATATATATATATATATATATATATATTTTTTTTTTTTTTTTTTTTTTTAATATATTTTTACTGATTTTACTGAGAACGGGAGAGGGATAAATAGAAACACCAATGAGAGAAACATCTTGAATGCTCCCCACTGGGGATTGAGTCTCGCTGGGACATGTTCCCTGATGGGGAATCGAACCACGAACTCTTGGTTCCTAGGTAGACACTCAACTACTGAGCAACACCCGCCGGCCTAGAAGCTAATTCCCAAGATGTTTCTATTAAAATGTTAATATGTGGGAATGGGTATGTAAGAAATTCCTTTTGTACTGAGCAAAAACAATAAATATTTTAAATTCTCGAGCTTATTTTCCTTCCACCAAAATCTGTACTCGAAATTTTATTTCTTTCATAATTAACTTCCATCCATAATCCTCTTTTTCCTCAGTTTTTGGAGACTTGTATTTGAGATTTGTATTTGACAAATATAAGTAACTGAAACAAAAGTGATTATAAATTAATCTAAAATTACTATGTTCAGATCCTCTAAAGACAAATATACATAGCAAATTTTATTTCAGTTGTGAGTCAAATATAAAAATAACTACACAAATGTGTGCATTTATTATCACTATTAGCAGAAAAATTCTTTAAAAAAATTTTTTTTATTGACTTCAGAGAGGAAGGGAGAGGGAGAGAGAGAGAAACATCAATAATGAGAGAAATCACTGACTGGCTGCCTCCTGCACACTCCCTTTTAGGGATGAATCCTGCAACCCATGCATGTGCCCTTGACTAGATTGAACCCAGACCCTCAGTCCATAAGCCGATGTGCTATCCAGTGAGCCAAACAGCTCTAAAGAAACTCTTTGTAACTGAAGTTACAAAGTACCAGGCTTTTAGTTTAAAAAAAAAAAAAAAATTGGACTCATTATTTGTTTAAATTAAGGAAGGAGAGGTGGGATCAGCTCTACCAAAAACATATAACCCATCTGGGGCTGGTTTCAAAAACTTTCCTTAATGCTTATAACCGATTTAATCTGAACAGCTTACAAATTCATCATATAGGATTTTCTTTTTACTATAATAGTAGTAAAAACAGGAAAGAAAATCACTTACCTTTAAAAATTGTGGATGTTTCATTAAAGAGTGATCAAAGATAAAGTAATAGCTGAGTGTAGCAAAGAGAAAATAGAGGATGTAAGCCCCAAGATTCGTTACAATGAGGAGACTGAGGGTCTGTCGAAAGAAGCTGTCCTCTGGCCACGTGGCAGGGTAGACGTAGGGCGTGAAGACATAGCGGTCTGCAGCTCCCAGGACGAGATCCATGGCGGCACCTGCAGGAGACACGCGCAGCAGTGACATGCTGATGCTTCTCAAAGCGTCTTCAGAAGAGGGCCCGAGGCCCTGCTTACCGAGCAGGGAGTCTGCCCAGCGGAGCCCCGGGAATGGCGCTTAGAGCCAGAGGCACCTTAGTCCCAGCTCTAGACCAACCTCTTCACACTGGAGAGGGGGCGCCAAGCCGGTAGAGCGCCGAGACCAGTGAGTTTTCTCTAAGGGTTAGCATGTCCAGGGGTAAATGTCGATCCGATTCCTTTTCAGTGTTCTTTCCTACTATGCCAAGGGCAGCAAGGCAAGTAGTAAAGATGTGGAACGTCAGGAACTAGGTACCTAGGCAAATGGTTTCTTCTTTAAGCTACAAGTTTTAGCAGCCGCTCTCTCCTAAAAAAAACCAGCCAACAAAACAAACAAACAAACAAAACCCTCCCATTTCAGAGATTTTTGCTCCAGTGCTGAAGCTTAATTACCTAAAGGCTGTCTATGTTGCTACCACAAGCATAGAAGTCAGGCACTACCTGTTCTTATGAGACAGAAAAGGCCGCTCTCACTGACAGACAAAGGCAGACATATTCTTCATGCGAAGAATGAGAACACACGCATTCCTCCCACCACTGAGCAACGCTCTAGGTTACGGGCTAGGACACTGGGCCCCGAGTCAAACCCAGAGCTGCTCCTGTGAACAACAAGCAGCAGCCACCACACCCCAGGCCTCCAGCACACCGCTGCCCGTGTCCACCAAATGGTCCTTATCTGCTACTATTGGATCATATAAATAATACCAATTTATGAAAAAAGTTAAAACCCTTCACAATATTCATATAACTACTTATTTACAGCCTATTTCCCCTACTAGATTCCCCATAGATTCCACACAAGAATGTAGACTTTTTAAAAATCATGCATACATGTAGTTTAAAATAATCACTACAAAGCGAGATACAGAGAGAAGTTTCACTTCCATACACATCTCTGTACAGAACGATCATCACCTCACTTCCAGCCCTGTGGGTAAGCATCTTTACTAGTTCCTATAAATCCTTACAATATTTTAAAATGTTAAGATCCAACTACAAATTTTTATTTCCTTTCTTTATAAAAAATGACATATTAGATACACTGACACATTCTTTTCTGGTACAAGGTATTTTGGATATCTTCTCATCATAATATAAAGACTATCCTCCTGCCAAAACCGGTTTGGCTCAGTGGATAGAGCATCAGCCTGCGGACTGAAAAGTCCCAGGTTCGATTCCGGTCAAGGGCATGTACCTTGGTTGTGGGCACATCCCCAGTAGGGGGTGTGCAAGAGGCAGCTGATCGATGATTCTCTCTCATCAATGTTTCTAACTCTCTATCCCTCTCTCCTCCTCTCTGTAAAATATCAATAAAATATATTTTAAAAAAAGAATATCCTCCTTCTTGTTTTTAATGAAGTAGCTTTATTAGGATACAATTTATAGGGAATGATTCAAAAGTGTTTAGCATATTCTTACAGTGGTGTAACCATCACTATCCAATTTCAAAACCCTTCCATCACCTCCACAAGAAACCGCATTCTCCATGCTGTTGAGCATCATCGATGTGTTACATTGTTTGCCATCCAATTTAAGGAGTTTTGGGCCATAACTTCTTAAAACAACCATTTTACTAGTTTTCTCTCTTCTCCTTTGGGACTCCTGTTACGTGTATGGTGGTACCCTTGATGGCATCCTCCAAGTCTCGAGACTGTTAATTTTTCTTCATTCTTACTTTCTGTTCCTCAGACTGGATAAATCTCAATCACCCTATTTTAAAATTCTTTCTTTGTTCTTTGCTCAAATATGATGTTAAGTTTGATGGTTCATTTGAAACGCAAGTTATATTTTCAACTCTTGAATTTTTATTTGGCTCTTTTCTTTTTTAAAAAAAATATATTTTATTGATTTTTTTTCACATAGAGGAAGAGAGAGGGAAAGAGAGTTAGAAACATCAATCAGCTGCCTGCTGCACACCCCCTACTGGGGATGTGCCCGCAACCAAGGTACATGCCCTTGCCCGGAATCGAACCTGGGACCTTTTAGTCTGCCGGCCGACGCTCTATCCACTGAGCCAAACCAGTTTTGGCTGGTTCTTTTCTTTAAAAAAATAAATTTTATCACTTTATTGATAGTTTCTATTTGCTGGGATATTGTTCTCAGACTTTATTATTTAGATGGTGTTCTTTAAACATATCTGTAGCAGCCAATTTTATTTTATTTATTTATTTTTAAAAATATATTTTATTGATTTTTTACAGAGAGGAAGGGAGAGGGATAGAAAGCTAGAAACATCGATGAGAGAGAAACATTGACCTGCTGGCTCTTGCACACCCCCAACAGGGATGTGCCCACAACCAATGTACATGCCCTTGACCGGAATCGAACCTGGGACCTGTCAGACCACAGACCGAGACTCTATCCACTGAGTCAAACCGGTTTCGGCTATAGTAGCCAATTTTAAAGTCTTTCCCCAGGAAATCTGGGCTTTCTTATTTATTTATTTATTTTTTAATATATTTTATTGATTTTGTACAGAGAGGAAGGGAGAGAGATAGAGAGTTAGAAACATCGATGAGAGAGAGTCATCAATCAGCTGCCTCTTGCACACCCCCTACTGGGGATATGCCCGCAACCAAGGTACATGCCCTTGACCGGAATCGAACCCGGGACCCTTCAGTCCCCAAGCCGACGCTCTATCCATTGAGCCAAACCGGTCCCGGCTGGGCTTTCTTAGAGATTGTTTCAATTGACTGCTTTTTGTGCACATACAGGCCATACTTACCTGTTCCTTTGTGTGTCTCCTAAGGAACATGTTAAATCAATAAAGTGGCAGCTCTGGAAGCCAGATTCCCACAGGCCTTCCTCACGGTTCTATGCTGCTGCTGTTAGTGACTTCTCCGGGCCGCCTGCAGCACGCCTGCATGCTTTGTTGTGTGCAGCTACTCAAGTCTTTATTACTAATGAGTGGGCAGACTTTCTTAAATGCTTTAAGCCACCAGCCTTTGTGAGGTGCTGTGTGTGGGGACATGCTTTCAATGTTCCCGTAGGCAGTTACATCTCTGTCATAGGCTTCACTTCTGCTTGCACAGGCCTGCGAGGTCAGCCAGCAGTGAGAGATCAGGGCCTTCGCCCACCTTTCTTGGATACACAGCCTTCAGTGGAAATCGCTCTAGATCCAACACCATGTCAGAGCTTTGCAGACTCCTACGGACATCCCTCAGGGCTTCCTTGTAAGTGTTTTGTTCTGGCTCTTGTTAGTGCCAACTGTCAAAACTGTCTCACAAAACTACGAGGTGAAGCGATCACGCTTGACAAAAACCGTGAGAACAGTTCCTCAGAGCGGCCAGAGGCCAGAGTGAAATCCTCTGGGTGGGGCTTTAGGGGAACTGCAAGCCTGTCCGGTCCCCTCCAGGGCTGCAGGCGGCAGTGCTTCATGATTCCTGCAGCTTCAAGGCTCACTTTTAGGCTCCCACGGAGCTGGGGAAGAGGCCAGAAATAAGGAAAGCTAAAATGCCACAAAGCTTCCTGTTCTTTCTGTGTCTCAGTCATTTTTCTAGAACAAACCTTCCTAGGATTACTGTAAATCTTTAATTCCCAGAGTTCCACAAAAATTGATCTTGGCAACTTTTGTCAGTATTTTGTTGCTTTTATAAAAAGCAGACTTTCAGAGGAAGGACTTACTCTGCTATTCTGGAAGTCACCATCTCCTTTTTTGTGGCACAAGGCTACTATTTTTTTTTTTTTTTTCTTCATAAAACATTTGGTTTCAGATGTATTTTGCAATTCAGAATTTCTAGATTTTTTTCCAAGGTAAAAACATCTTCCTACCAGTAAACACAAATATTTGTTAAGAAAAATATATGAATATTCACATCAAGTAGATGTACACTGCAAACAGTAGGATAATAATTTATATAGTAATTATATGTAATAATAAGCAAATATAGAATTATATAGACTAAAACAGTTCTTTGTTACTTCTATTTTTAAAGGAAAATATTCAGTAAACTTTCAAATACATTTCAAAGTTAAATAGCTGCATATATGTGTGTGTGTATGTAATACATTTTCATTAAATCTGGTAGTTGGGGGATCTTGTAGAGAAGGCCCATGGTTGGAATTAGACATTGATGACGGGCCAGGATCAGGAATCTTGAGTGATAAAGCAACACTACTCAAGATGGCCTCTTGGAGATTTCATGTTTCTGCCCCACCAATGCTGTTTCCTTGCCACCAGATGCCTTCAGCAACTTTTCCATTTGTATTCACATGTAGCCGTCATTGCAGTCAAGACTATCTTCATGTTTGTTTAATCACCTTTCTGGAGTTTTCCCACGGGCCAAGAATGAGTAACAAGCATTGCAATCCACGTCCAGCATTTCTTCCCTGTCAGATTCTGCTGACTTATTATGGTTCTGGCTGTTAAATACCTGGTGTAAGTAATGGAGTCGGGCGTCATCTTCTCAGTGGGGATACAAAATAGTGCAAAATCTTTATTTGCAGGTTCATTTTCAAACCTTACTGTCACTACAGGGCTAAGTATTTACTAATGCAGTTTTATCAACATCATTTTAAGCATTAGCAACCTGGAAAACAAGATCTTTACGACTGACTTTTTTTTATACTGGTATTCTAGATTTTTCCCCCCCCTTTTTATTAAATTTATTGGGGTGGCACTGATTAACAAAATTGTACAGGTATCAGGTGCACAGTTCCACAGCACATCATGTGTATACTGTGTGCTCACCACCGCCAGTATACTCAATGGGCAAAAACTAAAACCATTTTCCCTAAGAACAGGAACAAGACAGGGAATCCCACTCTCACCACTCCTGTTTGATGTACTACTGGAAGTATTAGCCACTGCAATTAGACAAGAAGAAGAAATAAAAGGCATCCATTTTCCTCTATACTGTCCTCCCCTCCGTGGGGGAATCTTCCTCTACAATCATCACTGTTGTCTCTGTCCAT